CAAGGGCTCAGCCTCGTTTGAGATGGTCCCTCGTTCGGCCGAGGGAGATTATCTAGTGACAAAGGTGGTGGCTGTGGATGCTGATTCTGGACACAACGCCTGGCTCTCATATCATCTGGTACAAGCCACTGAGCCAGGCCTCTTCTCTGTCGGCTCTCAAACTGGTGAGATCAGGACAACCAGAGCCTTTTTGGAGAGAGATGCTGTGAAGCAGAGGCTGGTTGTGATGGTGAAGGACAATGGGCAGCCATCTCTCTCCGCCACTGTTACTCTGAACCTGGTGTTTGCTGAGAACTTCCAGGAGGCCCTTCCTGAAATGAAGAACCAGCCAAGCATCTCTGAGTCTCAGTCTGATCTCCAGTTCTATCTGGTGCTGGCCTTAGCCTTGATCTCCTTCTTATTCCTCTTGACAGTCATTCTGGCCATTACCATGAAGCTCCGGCGCTCAGGGCATCCCAAATTCCTTCAATGCTTTGGCCCAGTTCCCCACTCCAAGGGTGGTGCCATGTTTCCACCTAATTTTGAAGATGGGACTTTGCCTTATTCTTACCAGCTTTGTTTATCAGAGTCTCAAAAAAATGAATATACCTTTCTGACTCCCCATGTTCAAATTGCAGAAAATATTCTTGGTTTTGGGAATTCCGATGCACCTTTTACAGGCAACAATGAAAATAACTTGAATTCAGAGATGAACAATGATGCCAAGGTGAGTTTTGCAGGATTTTTTTGTATAACACCTTCTACTGAAATTTCTATGCTGTATTTTACCGTGGTCATGTTTTTATAAAAGGTTTGAGGTATGGATTATCTATAAATGTTTGTCTTCTTATGGTCTTTCTATATATTATTGAGGTGAAGTGCTTCCAAGAAAAACTACTTGGTGTGCCGCCTTTGGTAGGCTTCAACTTGATGGCTCAGTGTGGAATAAATAAATTAAGATGAAGATGAAGATGAAGATGATGATGATGAAGAAGAAGAAGAAGAAGAAGAAGAAGAAGATAGTTTAATCTTTCTGTGGTAGTCAGTTCTGATCATTCTGTCTGGTCTTTTGAGATAGGAAATTAAAATAATCTGGCATAATTAGATCTTTAGAATATCTTTGCAAAACGTACTAGTAATGAGCTGCAAAATTCCTCTCTCAGGCAAGCTATCAAATCAATAATATTGTGGTAGAGATTCAGACTTTAGTACTTATCCAGGATCCTTTTTTCTGCTGAACTTAGTTGTGGTGTGACTTTCAGAAGGACCAATGAAAAATGTTAAGAATCAGAAGTGATAAGTGGTGACAAGGAGCTAAATCTACTGTTAGTCCAAACTGTAGTATACCCATTGAAATCAGTGGTTCTGACGTTAGTTCTGAACTTACAGGTCCCATTCAGAGTCCGTCTAAGTAGGGCTTACATTGTATAGAACACATTGTAAGGATCTCTTCCTCTAGAGGTTATTTGTGATATGTGCTCTCTAACTTTTCACCGCAATTTAAAGTTGCAGTAAGCGTAGTGTGAATCTAATTCAGCTAGCAAAAATATTTTGGGAATTTAAGAGATGGTAGAATGAACTTTTGTTTTGTGCTTCCATTAAGTCTACGTCTTTGTGAATGTAATGTTCCTTTGTTATTGACAGTTTTCCTATTCCAACATCCATATAGCGCCTCCTGTAATGAAACCTAATGGCAATGATAATTTTAAAAAGGAAGAAAGTTTAGAGT